CACAAACTCACACACAGACACACACACACACACACACACACACACAAACTCACACACAGACACACACACACACACACATACACATACACACACACACACTCACACACACGTCAAATACAACAAAAATTGGTAGAAGATACAGCGGCAACAATGTTTGTACTCAAACAGGTTCGTTTGTGTAGCTTGTAGTAATTAGATCTTACATTATTTTTTGTATATTCCAGATGAAGCCCTTTGCCGGGCGAAACGTTGAACTTGTATAAAACTTGTAAATTCTACTAGTCTCAACTCTTTTTTATTCTTTGCTATTTACAATGATGATGATGATGATGATGATGATGATGATGATGATGATGATGATGATGATGATGATGATGATGATGATGATGATTATTGTTATCATCATTATGATGTTTATGATGATGGCGATGATTATGATGATGATGGTTATGATGATAATTGTTTTGTTTTTCTATGATTATTTCGATTATTATGACAATTATGATGATTATTGTATTATTGTGATTATTAGGAAGTCTAGGGAAAAACAAAGAAGACTCACAGTTTCAAACAAATAATAGAAAAGATGATGGGCCTATCTGTGGTGCACACCAGCCATCAGCACGTTATGGTGAACAGACAGAGGGATGTGAAATTTTATATTTTCAGCAGTGTGGAATCGTGGACATGATACTGGTTCTTTTACGTCTTAGTCGTTTTGTCTGATTGCCAATCAACTTTAATTGTCTGTATCACGGATGTCAAACTCTATCGCTCCAGGGGGCCAAATTTTAATTACGCGTAAGGCAGCGGTACAGACTGAATAAAAACATTACTCTTTGATTAGTGGACATCTCAGTCTGCTTCTTCTTTAAAAAACCCCACAAAAAACAATGACACAATGATCTGGTTGTTCGCCATAAAAAGGAAGAGGCCAGCGGGCCTTGAGATTGAAAACGGTGGTCTTTATGATACCCCTACTGTAGATAAACACTTCAGAGGGAAAGCAAAATAGTTGACTTTAGAAGGACTTACGCGTTTTAGTTTATTAAATCCGAACTGGCAACTTCTTTTTGTAACCATAATATTCGCGAAGGATTGTTTTAAGAGACAGATGTTCCAACTTTTTAAAAACAACAACCAGCCTTCCCCGCAGGTTATAGCTCTGTTACATTTCCATAAACTGCCATATTCCTTTATTTGAATCCGAACACCTACAACAGCTAATAGAGATCTCGTAAAACACTTATATAATGATACTCTTCTTCGGAAGAATGGTGTAAAAACAATGTACATTCACAACTCGATACTCCCTTTTTTGCTTTAAGACTATTTGGGAGTGTAAAGCCTTTTTGAGAATGTTGTATGTCTTTAAAATATTAATCAACCTCCTGTTGCAATAGAGAAAAAACAAACAAACAAAAAGGAAACAAACGAAAATAAAAACATAAAAAGAAACCAGAAACTAAAAACGAAGCATGGTAATACAGATGGAAGTCTGTTAAAATGCCTCATATACACTTCACGGAGCAGAGGTTCACTTACCGTGTCTCTCAATGGAAGGGGTTGCACCAATATCTGGTGTGTACTGGGCCTATTTGACCCAAAACCCTCTAAGGGCACAGCCATAACTTTATTGTAAACTGACAGATCAAAACTTACCCTGACGATTTCGGTCGAGGTGATAGTGTTCCTGCCATTGGATGTGTATATATGTGCCAACACACGCGCCGTCTGGAGAATCTCTTGGTTTTATTGTAGGGTCACTAAAAGTGAACGTGAGTAGGCTATTGTTAATTTCCCTGATGGTGAAAAACACCCCAACTAGGCATGTGCCGACTAATCAAACGTCACATTTATTGTATAGTTAAAATTGCAGTGGCATTGTTGAAGAAGTTTGTCTTGTTTTATAGAGTAATTAATGGAAGGTGTCAGGCAAAAAAACAAGACACCCCCCCCTAAAAAAAAAACCCACCAAAAAATAAAACTCAGGGCACTAATCCTTAACTTACAACAGTACCTGTAGAATATCTTTATGAGATCAGTCAAGTGAAACCACCAACTTGTGTACAAAATGTATTTTAAAAAAGAAAAAACTCACATCAAGTTAGGAACAAGTTAAGTCCATGATGAAACAGTAGGACATTGGTTAAGTCATGGTAGGACTGATGTGACTTAGTCTGCTTAAAAAACAACAACTTGTTCCTTTTAATTGTATTAACAGCGTTTGGGGTTTACGTATGTGGTTTGAGAGAGTGCCCAAAACAATTGTATAACTAAACGAGATAGCAGTGACAATAACTACAATAATACTATACATTAATATAACAAGATCTAATATAACAAGAGGTAAGAGTACATTTGAGATTGATAGGATGATTGACACAGCCAGTCCTTGACTATTATTATTATGCTTAATAAGAAACAAAATAAGGATCATACATTGCATAATGGTTATGATCATTGTTTTGCGTGTTGCGAATATAGCTACAGTGACCTTCGGGTATACGATTAAAGATCATAGCAATATAAAAGACTTTTGAAGTAGTTTTATTTAAAAAGAAAACATTCTACAAATAACAAAAACAACCGTACTAATTATAATTCCCTTCTGAAGAAATTATAGGCGTGATTTGGTGGGGTGAGATTTGTAGCTGTGGGATAGGAAAGTTACAAGCAAGGGATGGGGAATGGGAGGGGAAGGGTAGGTAAAAAATATAACAATAATAACAATAATAATAATGATTGTACAGTTGAGAAAACGGATAGAAACGAAGGCCGACAATCCCCGGTGCACCGAGCTACAGGCTAACGATTAAAGTCTTGAGCCAACAGAAATTACCTGTAGCGCACAGGTCACACAATCCCCACTGTCAGTAGCACTGTCGGCGAGCCAATAGAGGCGGAAAATAAACGATAGATCTGTTCAACGGTTGGGGGTACAGGCCCAGTTGGAGCCGAACTGGAAGTGCTGGGGAAATCAATATTCAATATGGGATATCCAATATAGGGGATCCAGTATTATCCAATATAGGAGATCCAGGATGGGAGAAGGTGAAACAACAAACGGGGTTTCACTTCCCTGAATTCTGTTGTGTTTATGTTAGGTTAACTGCCCCCGGGGCAGTGCCACTGACTGTAGCGTCTAAGGCCATTCCCAAAGGGGGGACATTTCTCGTTCAAGCATAGTAGAATTGTAAATGGGCTGACTCATCATGTCACGATCGTAACTGTGCCTGATCTACAACAGGGAACTGCTGCTTTTTCTTTCCTAATCCTTACTATTGTCATTTTCTTCTACTTCTTTTGTTATGTTTGTCACTCTCTTGTGACCCGCTATTTCCGGGGTGCCTTGATAGTCGAAGCAGACCTTGTGCTGTTGAAGCTAGAAAGGTGAGCAGAATAAGTCTGATTCCCTGTAAAGACTTCTCTGTTGACACCCACCCCTTGGCGCTCATATTCTGCAGTTGCGAGCGCCGTAAAACCCTCTACTATAAAAAAAAAAAAGTTAGGTTGACGCCGATTATGTCGAAAACAGGTAACTGAGCATACATTGGTCCAGTAGAGGGAACAAAGGACGAAACGGAGAAAGATGGAAAGATGGAAAGATAGAAAGAAGGCAAGGGCACTGTCAAAACAGCATGCTCCTCTGGGCAACTATGTTTATAATGTTGCAATTTGTGTGGAGCCATCAAGCTTTTAGCGAAAATAATATTTTTTTAAATTCTCCCCCCCCCCCCCACACACACACACGCACACACAAAATCAATTAAGGTAAGTGCCTACTTATCATTTAATATGACCAGTAAAATATTATAAGTCATATTGGTTGCTACATGGCTAGAAAATAGTAATGACATTGAAGTCATTAGTTGTCCAAACATCGTCTTCCGTGTGAAAATGTTAGCCCACGTCAACAGCCCAGTTAAAACTGTAATATCAAAATAATACAAGCTTTCTTACACATACTTTCTGTCTCTTCTTCCTTCCCCCTCCCCTCATATCCCATTCTCTCTCTCTTTCTTTCTCTTTTCGTCTCTGTGTATTTATGTGTGTTTATGTGTGTGTGTGTGTGTGTGTGTGTGTGTGTGTGTGTGTGTGTGTGTGTGTGTGTGTATGTGTGAGCGCATGTATGTACGCGCGCGTGCGTGAGTGTGTGTATTTGTGGGAGTGCGTGTGTGTGCGAATGTGTGTGTGTGTGTGTATGTGTCGGCATGAAAACACACACACACACACACACACACACACACACACACACACACACACACACACACATATACACACACACACAAACACACACAAACACACTCACACGTATGAAATATATTTTTGTATACAAGAGACCAGGTGGCAGAAAAGTCTGTCTAGCCAGTCATTAGTTCTCTCTGGAGGCCAATTCGTCTCCTGTGTTGGGGCCACGGATTTAGAGCAGATTAGCATTTGGACGTTGGGATATTGCTGCCATAACTGACCGTTTACAGAAGGCAGCCCGTTTAAGAAAAAGCCGGTTTAAGGACAAGTTATTATTTATTGCCACGTCTTAAACTAGTTTAAAGGTGTCTACTGTTCACTAACAATTTTGATTGATCGTTAAGAAGAAGACTTTCACAGAACATGTGTGTGTATGTGTATGTGTGAGTGTGTTTGTGTATGTGTACGTGTATGTGTGTGTATGTGTGTATGTGTGTATGTGTGTATGTGTGTATGTGTGTATGTGTGTGTATGTGTGTGTATGTGTGTGTGTATGTGTGTGTATGTGTGTGTATGTGTGTGTGTGTGTATGTGTGTGTATGTGTGTGTATATGTGTATGTATGTATGTGTGTGTATGTGTGTGTATGCGTGTGTGTATGTGTGTGTGTATGTGTGTATGTGTGTATGTGTGTATGTGTGTGTATGTGTGTGTATGTGTGTGTATGTGTGTGTATGTGTGTGTGTGTGTTTATGTGTGGGTGTGGGTGTGTTTGTGTCTGTGTGTATTTCAATTACTGCTAACAACTGCTCTAAATGATCTGATATAAAAACACACTTAGATATAAAGCTCAACTCGTAGATATCAAGTATACCTGGATGGCTGAAAGCTACATAGACAATACCCCCTTCCCCTTCTTCTTTCAAGAATACACAAACCTCCACACAGACTGATTCAACTCCATTTAAAAGAAAACGAATGGGAAAGTTACAAAGACAGTACCCCCCACCCCACATTATTTTTAAAAGCATTCAAAATTCTCAACAGAGACTGATTCAAATCAATTTAAAAGAGAACGAATGGGATACGCATACAAGTAGCACCACTCCCTATGACTTCTTAGAACGGGTAATTTCACACAGGAATCTCACCTCGTGAATACGATTCAGAGAAAACAATAATAATAATGAAATATAATACAGTCTTTTATTTTCGAAAACATTTTGTGTTCAATTGGTATATAAACATTATGTACATTACTTCGGTCGGACATAATAAGCTTCGATAACAGCGTTTTTTGTTTTTTGTTTTTGGAGTTTCTTTTCCCGCATGAACGATTGGTCGGTATATAAAGCAGGAGTATATTAAGAAAGCGTGAATTTCAGATTAAGTTAGACCCCAAGTAAGTCTGGATACAAACAAACACACTTTTCTTCGCATTATCTGTGATTTCACGACTACCAAGGAACCTTCCCTCAGTTCTCTTTTCCACAGATGCTCCTTTCCCTCGCCTCCTCTCTCTCTCTCTCTCTCTCTCTCTCTCTCTCTCTCTCTCTCTCTCTCTC